TAAATAAATATCAATCTCTTGGTATTAAATGCGACTTAAGCAAAAGCAATTTTTATGAAACAGAATAAAATTAACATCGGAATTACACGAGTTAAAAATATATTCAAATGGAGCAGTTATTATTTTTCTAGAAATGTTTCTCTTAAGAATTCAAATAAATTTTTAAGTGATGTCATTGTCGATATTGTTTTAGAATTTATGTTCGGATTTATATTATTTTAGAATTTATGCTCGGATTTATATTATTTTAGATTTAATTTTAAGAACATCGGAGCGCAATTCAAAAATTAAACATCGGAATTAAGCGACTTAAAAATAAGTCAGATGAAATCATTCATATTTTTCTATAAATATTTCTTTTAAGACCTGATACAAATTTTTTACGTGATGTTATTGTTTATGTTATTTTAGAATTCATGTTAGGATTTATATTATTTTAGAATTAATGTTAATATTTATATTTCAGAATTTATGTACGATTTATATTATTTTTGAGCTAACAGTAAAATTTTTATTATTTTGATTTTGTTCTAAAGATTTTTATTATTTAAAGCAGTATTTAAAATATAGATAAAATGTATACTAAAAGTATTGATAATTAAAAGTAGTAATTTTAATTATCAATAAACACTGTAAAGAAAATCCGGATCAAATTACGGTAAAAAGTATTGTTTTTTACAGTGTAATAAGTTACCTTTTAACGCAAGAATTCTATAATAAATACACTGTTGTTTATTATCTAAACCTTCAAAACTAATAGTTAATTTCTGGTTGTCATTAGGACCATGTAGTTAATTCGTTTTTGTTTATTTATGCTTATTAAAAAAAGTGTTGTTGTTTTCGATAGATGACCTATTTTTTAAAATTTTTTTTCAATATTCGGGAACATTAAAAAGACTTTTCATGGTCGGAATATTATTCTAACAGGTTAAAAAACCAGCTAATTATGGCATAAGTTAAACGACATTTTGAATTGTTGAAGGAAAATGCATTTAGCTAAATTAGTGAAAAGTTAAAATTGTTGAAAATGTTCTTTCTGTCTTCTGTGTAGCTTGCAATTTTCTAAACTGTATCACTAACTTTTGCTTGCTAACTTTTGCTAAACTTTTGCTTTCATCGAATTTTAAAAAATGAATAAATAAATGAAAAAAAGTAAAAGGTTTTAAGAGTTTAATTTTATTAAGTAAAAGTTAAGTAAAAAATTAAGAACAATAATAAAAATGTGTTTACCATTGCTCGTTTCCTTATTTTTTTATAAATAACCAATCACGCGTAATATATTTTTATTTATACCTCAAATATGTACATAATGAGTGATGCTTGGGAAAAAAAGCTATCAAACTAGATGTATAAGAATATTTTCCTCATTATAGCAAATTTCTAATAACCGAAACCTAGGCCATCGCCTTTAAAATGGAACATTTCACATCATATTTTTCGTAACAACTATGCATTTTATAGCTTTTTGTTGAAATATCTTGTCATAATAATTGTTTGTGACAAAACAAGCTTACATTATCAATAAAATTTTTATTACATTTTAATGGTCTTGTCTTTTTAAGTAATGTTAAGAAAATTCTATACATTTCTGAATTTAATTGCATTTCTAAAGAAATATGTTAAAATTATCTTTCAAAATTTGCACAACTTACGCGCTATTGCTATAAAATAATTCGTGACAAGAAAAGCATCTGAAGCATTTCTCAATCCAAAATGATACTTTTAAGAGAAAATTAGTAGTTTTTTTTAAAGAAAACGATTTTACGAGTGCAGTTTTTTGAAATAATTTTCCAACTTTCAATTTGAACCATTTTATTCGGTAAGGATTTAATAAAACACTACTTCGAATAATTTCTAACTTAAACAGTTGCGATATGCCCTATATTATTTCAAAACAATCTTTTTAATTGAAAAAATAACATTTTTTTCTGAGAAAATGATTCTATGAAAGCGTGACTTTTAGAATTTTGTTCCTAGGACTTTTATTTTAGACACTTGGTTTTAAACAAAATAAGACAATTTCGAACATCAAATAATCAAAACACTATTTGAATAACAAACTGAAGAATAAATTGTAACAAAAAAATTGTTTTATGTCTTAACCCAGACAAAATATGCATTTAAGAAATAATAAGAACGCCTTTTTTATGAAAATGATTCTATAAAAAGTTATTTTTCGTATTCTAGTTTTAAACATTTAAAACATGAGCTGTTAAATAAAATAAGCTAGTTTTTTCGTATTGAATTATCAAAGCATTATTTGGATAACAGTCTGAAGAATAATTCTTATTTAAAAAATAGCACAATATTATTCATTTCAGAAATTATTTAATTAAGAAAAACAATGCAACCTTTCACCAAAACAATTCTATAAATGACGATTGTTTATTTTTTTTAAATTTAAAATATAATTAGAAGCTTTTTGGGTAATAACTTACATAATTATAACAATCGATTTTGAGATGTGCAAAATGTGCTATTTCATTAAAAATATCTTTTATAAAAAAGTATAATAATATTTTAATAAAAAATAATTTTAACATTTTAACATATTCAATAATTTTTTACGTGCCATTAAAACTTTAAAACTTTATAAATAGTACAATAAAAGAAAATTTTTCTTTGTATGCTTTTATTATTGAAAAAGATTTTACTTTCAACGCAGATGTTTTATTTAAGATGTTTTGTTTCCATTTTTATCTCTCCAAATTTTTTCTTTGTTTTATCTCATGGTTCAATAACCGCAAGAAACATTACGATTGAAATATTTATATAAAAAACCTGATAAAATATTAGTCATTTATACTTTTCTAAAACGAAAACATCAATGCTTTAAGTAAAATACCGGTGTATAACGAAAAAAAAAAGAATAAGTACATGTGTAAAGTTAGAGCCATCACGATATGTCAATACAGGTGGTATGATATTGTTGGAATGGAGTGCAAGATAATATGCATTCACCTATTTCACTGAGTCTAAGGTAATATGCCTTCATTTATTTTACTCATAACCATACAATTTTTTTCTACATTTAATCGATTAATTTTTAAATTCAAGATATACATATTTAAAGCAAAATAAATTATCAAATATATGAAATGACCAACTTCAAAACAGTGCATTATCAAATATGTAAGAGATGGATATATGAATATAAAGCATATTTATTGAAAAATATTTATTCTGTACTGTTAACTAAGATGTGAAATAAATCAATTTTTGAGTTACGTTTAATGAAATATTTTATAAATATTTCCAAACAACATTATAAAAAGATCTTAATGTAGCTTAAAAGAAAAAAAATCTTAATTATTTAAAATTAAGCAATTCAAAATTTCATTATATTAAAGTACACAAAATTATACATTAATTTTTAAAAAATATAAGTGATTATTTTTATGTGCTTTGGAAGTAAATAAGAACTGTTAACAGTAACAGGTCATGTTTTACGAAAATTGTACTCATATTAATTATAAAGGACTATATTTTTATTTTTGTCGAAATTATAAATAAACTGCTTACTGTAGCATGTCACATTTTGCAAAAATGATTCTCACAAAAATTATTAAGGACAATATTTTTATTTACGTCGAAATTAAAAATAAGCTGTTAACTATAACAAGTCATATTTTGCAAGCATGGTACTCACATAAATTAAAGATGACTATTTTTATTTTAGTCGGATTTAAATTTAAAATATTAATTGTAAACTGACACAATTAGAAAAATAATCCATTTAAGCGACAATTAAAACAGAAATAAACTGAAATAATTTAACTTGAAATCTTCTTAAAGCCATATTCAAGAAATTTATCTTAAAAATATCCTAATATTTAGCATATGTTTATGAATAAAATTAGCTCATGAAATTCGCAAGTTTAAATTAATTTTTAAACAAAGAGAAGACATTTTTTTAAAAATACAAAAATTATTTAATCCTAGAAATGTTTAAAATATTTGATTTTGAATCTATACATAAAACCATTGTTCACATAAAAAACAATATCTGCATAAACACTGTACATTAAATCAATTCAAAAAATTTGTTTGAGTAATTTATAAAATAACTGTCTCTACACGCAGTTGATATTCGCAAAAGAAGTTAAGAAAAATTAGAAGCACGCTATTTTAACAGCCTTAAGAATGAAATAAAATTAAAAATTTATAATCGTTGAAAACATGCAAATATTTGAAATTCTGTTTATAATTTAATTTTTTCTTTAAAATCGTTTAATAAAAACAAAGTTTAAAACACATTCACAAAATTTTGATGCAGTGAAAAATTTAAAAAAAAAATTAAAATTAAATTATCTATTTGATATAAACCCGTACAATTTGTACAATTCATTACAAATATTCTTTTCTTAACGTTTGAGGAGAATATTCAGCAAAAAAAAACTTTTTTGGTATTTGTATTTTTTTTATACAGATTATAACCAACAAAAAAGAAATTTTATATAAATCAGTTTAATTCAACCTCAAATGAAAACGTTAATAAAAAAAGGAATAACCCTCGAACACAATGCATATATTTATAATTCTCTTTGTAATGTAAATTGTTTAATAAAATCATTTGATGAAAACGAAGTTTAAAACACACGCACAAAATTTATTTTCGAAGAAAAAGAAATTAGAATAGAAATTGAATTAAAAAATAAATTCCCAAATATGGATAAATTCTTACAATTCAAACAATTCATGAAAAAATGCCCTTTTTAAATGCTTGAAGAGAATATTCAACAAAAAAAACTTCTTCACATAATTATTATTATTATTATTATTTTTATTTTTATTATTGCGATTATTTTTATTTTAATTGTTACAAATTATAACCAACAAAAAAGAAACTTTTATAAAAGAAAATTTATTTAAACAATCTTAATTCCTCCTCAAATGAAAATGAATAAAGAACAATTGCTAAAACCAAATTAAACTAAAACAACATAATTATTTGCTAGCAAAAGTATATAATTATCAATAGATTTAGAATTAATTCTTACCATTCATCTACAAGAAAAAGCAATATCCAATCCACACTTTCTTAAAGCTTCCTGCTAAAGAAATTACTCGGAAGTGCACATTAAATCCTTTCTATAACCATACACTTTATCAAAAAAGAGAAAGCATACTTTCACAGCACCTTGCGTTTAGCAATAGAACAAACATTCAATCAATTTGGATTTGATAGGCGAAAATTGGCGAGCGGCTCGTATGCGTCACCAACCTATAAAGTGCGAGCTGCCAGTTTGTGTCAGCTGATAGTAATCAGCTCAACCGGTTCAAACGATGAGAGTAAGAGTAGCGGCAAGTCTTCTGACGTAACTGACTTGCCTTTCGTAAGTTTAGGTCAGTTGCTCGTTATAAGAAAAAAAAAAATTTTTTTTTTTTACTCTCTCATTTCCTTTTCAGCCATTTAGAGAAAACGGGTAATGTCAAAAGGGGTACACTAGGGGACTTAGGTGACCGCATTGTGATATTACATTAATTGAGGTGTGAACTTATTATTACGAAAGATGTGTTTTTTTCTAAGTTTCCGTCTTTGTGTTTTTTTTTAAATTGTTATTGTTTAATCGTAAAGGTATTTTGTTCTCCTTAAAATCACTTCAAAGTAATTTTAATTTTTTCATCAATTATTGTCTGAGAAATATATGTAATTTGTATTACGAAAAAAATTTAAAAAAATGCTTAATTTGATCGAAGAAAATTTTTAAAAGTCTTACGCTTATTTAGCGAAAATTGATCTATATATATAAAGTCATAAAATTGGCACTATGCAGTTATAACCTACAGAAAAATTAAAAAAGTTTCAGGCTTATTTTGCAAAACGTGATCAATAAAGATTGTTTTTTATCTTATCGTAAAGGTATTTTGTTTTCCTTAAACTCTCTTCCAAGTAATTTTAATTCTTTTATCAATTATTGTATGTTGTTTGAGAAATGTATATAATTTGTATTAAGAACATAAATAAAATGCTTAATTTGAAAAAGAAAAGGAAAGGTCTCACGCTTATTTTGCAAAAACTGTCCTATAAATGCAAAGTCATAAAATTGGCACTATACAGTCATATGCCTACAGAAAAATGAAAAAGGTCTAACGCTCAGTATGAAAAAATTAATCTATAAATGTGAAGTCATAAAATTGGCACTATACTATCATATGTCTGCAGATAAATTGAAAAAGACTAACGCTTATTTTGCAAAAACTGATCTATTAATATAAAGTCATAAAAGTGGCACTATACAATCATATGCTTACAGAAAATTTTAAAAAGTCTTACGCTTATTTTTTAAAAATTGATCTATCAAATATAAAGTCATTAAGCTGGCACTATTCAGTTATATGCCTACATGAAAATTAAACTAAATGCAGTCATTGATTTTAGTTGCAATATATTTTAGAGTTGCCTTTGTTGGTAAAAGCAGTTCAACTAAATTAGACTTATGAAACCGAATTTAAATAATTCTTCATTACATTTTTCTTTGTCTTATGCTTAAAATAATAAAATACTTAATTTAAAAATAAGAATTTAAAAAATTGCTACAATCATTTAGCTAAAATTGTTAATATTGTAATTGACTAAATTGTAATTGTAATATTGTAAATGACTAATTGTAATTGACTAAATATGTAGTCATTTTCTGTACATTCTTATGCGGACAGTAAAGTTAAACTGAATGCAGTCATAGGTATAAATTCTAATTCTTTCTGGCGTTGCTCTTGTTTGCAAAAGCTGTTAAACTACAATTAACTTAATAAACTGAAATTAATATTTTTCTTTTTCTAGACAAAATCTTCAATATAATTTGGATTAATTTTAAAACTTTATTTTTGGTCAAATAAATCTTCTTCTTCCTATTAATAATTTAGTCGAGTTAACCTTGATTTCTACTTCAACATAAAAAAGTACTTTCGCATTATATTAGGGGGACCGGAAAGTAATGCCGTTTCGGTGCATTTGATATTTGTTATCAAGATTTTATTTTTAATCAATAATGTATTCACCCTCGTTAGCAACAAACTTTCAATGCCAGATCAAAAATGAATCGAACTGGATCGAAAAAAATGAATTGGTTTTTAAGATTAACGAATATTTAATGCACCGAAACGACATTACTTTCCGGTCCCCTTAATATTAGATATCCTTAAAGGAATTACTTTCTAAACTAGGACTTTTTCTCTCTAGTCTTTCTTTATATTGCTTTATAATTCAAAAATAGTAGAAATTTAGCAAATGTTCAGCTGTTGCGCACGTTTAATTATATAACTGGCTTTTTTGCTTGTTTGAATTATAAATTGGAAAGAATTAGAAAACTTACATCAGAAACCATAGGTGTTCGAGATTCATAAAAATAGAAGCAGCTCTGCAGCTGCAAATGAAGTTCATAACCAAATTAAGTGCACTATCATAACCAAATTAAGTGCACAAGAATAATAATTCATAGCCTAAAATCGTCTAACTGCACTTGAAAAATTCCCCATCAAATTACGGTAAAAAGTACCTGCAATCAGGATGACGGTATATTTAACTACTGAAACTATCTTTACTGTAAAATGTAAGGGAACAAAAAATCTGACGAACCATAATTTTTTGAGTCATATTTACTATAAAATCACTGAATAGCTGTATTAAAATAAATATTATTGTAAAAAAAACGGTGAAAATTTGTACCGGTACTTTTTTTCCAGTAATCAGAGTTAACATAAATTACTGCAAAAGTTTTCAATAGGAATTCCTTTTTAAAGAATAGATTAAACCGCAGCAACACATCAACGATCATAATACGTAATAATATTAAACAAGTAATAAAAGATTTAATGTTCTAAGTATCCACGAATTGGCCATAATTTATTTTACACTAAATGTCAATATGAAACAGGTTTATGAGCGAATTCTTCTATTACCCTCTAAAAGTCTAAAAAGAAACTGTAAGTTATCTAACACGTCCATTAAAACCAGAACTTACAGGGGCAAATGGCAACGAAATAATTTTATCCTAACATCACTTTCTTCTGAAGTGAGAGCCAATAGTTATTACAAAAATAAAAAATTAAAAAAAAACCTTGGTCAATCATTTCCTCCTTGCTTTTTTCTTACTTAATAAACGTTCCAATTCCTCACGAATTTTAACTGGGCAGTTGTGTTTGTGTAACATTCATTAACCTTCGGGAAAATAAATAATAATTCATTTTATTACTTTTTACTAGAATTAATGTAAATGTTTGATTTGTATTAATTTAAAACTAGTGAGAGCTGTGTTTTCAAAACACAAATTTTCTCCATACTTTTAGAATTATTTGGAAATTAAAAATCTCATGTCAACTCTTATTTTTGATAATTTAGTAACCCGTGAGCTTTGTTTCGTAATTCTTGAAAATAATTTTGTTACGAGCTTGGGTGATTAGTGACGAATCGCGTTATCTAAAATGTCTGAAGAATAATAATTTATCTTATTATTTTTTTTTTGAATTAATGTAAATGTTTGATTTGTATTCATTTAAAACAAGTGAGAGCTGTAGTTTCAAAACACAAATTTTCTCCTTACTTTTGGAAATTAAAATTTTCATGCCAACTCTTATTTTTGATAATTTAGTAACCCGTTAACTTTGTTTCGCAATTTTTGAAGATAATTTTTTTACGAAGTCGGGAGATTTTTGACGAAACGCGTTATCTGAAATGTTTGAAGAAATTACTTCGTTCCTCGTACGTTTTCACGAGCATTCTAGGAATTTTCAAACTCTTTTTATTTGATTTTAAAATCGTGCTTGATAATCAGACTTCCGGTGTTTATTTCCTGACGAATATACTCGTTTACTAAGACAACTTTTAATGTATGTCGTATTACTTAATCAATGCGTTAATCGATGTACCCTTTAGTTCTGACGAAATTCGTATCCAGGTGAAATGAAAACGACAAGTGAGGATAGTAATTTCATCAGTTTGACGTAATAATTCAGCGTAGTTTCTCCAGGAAATGATTTGGACAAAAATTGCATCGTCCTCTTTTTTGCAGTGATATAGCCAAAGCAAAGATAATTTTGTACAAATTGAAAGAAGAAATATAGCAAAATACATTGACAACTAAGGTTGATAATGTTGCTTCATAATTTTGCATTTTATTATGGACTTCTTTAAATTTGCTTATTAATTTTAACAAAATATTTGAAACTGTTCATTTTTGCTTTCGTTATTTTTCATAAAGTATACTGGGATAATTTCATTTTTTAATTGAAAAATTTTCTCGATGATTACTTAATTTAAATACAAAAAATTCAATATTTCTCATAATACACATTAAACTGAAAATTTATTTCAGTCTAAGTTAAGCTTATTGCGTAGCAGGCTTTCATCAATATTGTACAAGAAGTAATTTTTTACTGAATTTGCTTTCCAAGTAAAAATTTCTTGTCCTCGGTCAAAAGTGGACTTACCTAATTTTTGAGCCAGGCTGGTAGATTTTCCTGTTGAACTAAAATAATTTTTTGCTTAATTTGATTTTTAAACAAGACTTTTTATATAAATTTTCAAACATTTATTTATTTTTTAAATAATCAAACGGCAAAACTTGTCAAAGATGCGAAATAACAAATAACTTTTGTTGCAACGAAATATATTTCATTTTTCCCTGAAACGAAACCTATGATGCCTAACTTTCATTGAAAACTTTTTAAGAGTGCTGCTATCTAGTGTCAGAATTAAGAAACGTTATGCAAGATAAATAATAGAGATACATAAAACAGAAAGGATTCTGTGAAAATAGAAACCAATTTCGAGATTTGATATTGTTGAAAGAATCAATTTCGAGCTTTGATATTATTGAAAAAACCAATTTCGAGTTTTGATATTGTTGGAAGAACTTTTTTTTCTTCCTCCGTTCGTTCAGTTTGCTCTTCAAAAGTTAGAAATTGGTGATTTCGAATTCAGAGAAAATCAAGATGTTAAGCAATAATAAAATCCTTTTAAGTCAACAAAATAATTTGGGATGTTTTACTGATACGGATTTTATTTTAACAGCAAATATAATTTATACCAATTCAACTCTAAAACGTAAAAAAAGTTCAAGAAAGAAAAATAAATAAATAAAATAAAATTAATAAATTAAATTGCTTATGTATACAAAACATATATTAATGTTAAGTATAAAATATCATTTTTAATTTTGCTTCAACAAAAACAACAACTGTAAAAATAATAAAACGTAAGAATCTCAATATAGTATCAAGTGAAAAATTTCAAAATTCATTTTATTCACTTTTTAATTTGTTCTT